CAACAGTGCATTAGAGTGAATGTCTTGTTCTCCCTGTCTAATCCCTTGAACATCTCGGCTGCGTCAGAAACCAGCACATGTTATTAATCATCAATGTGTATATCTCCACAAATAAATCAAATAGAAAAACAAAACAAATGAACAAACGAAACAAATAACAAATTAAACCTTGTCTTGAATGGTTGCACCACTTTGATTCCTACGCTCAATTGCTTCGTAGCATGCACAAAACTTGTTCACTTGGTCCAAAATAGTCATCCACCTATGCATAATGGAACTCTCCATTCTGAACGCTTCAGTTGTCTTGTGTTTCTCATCAAAATCATGAATTCTACTCCAAAAGGAGCCACGAGGTTGATTAGCCCCGCGCACGGGATCTTTGCTCGTGTTCAACCAAGCTGCCACAACAACTAAATCCTCCTTCGGATCAAAGTTTTTTGTCCTCTTCGAATATGGTCTTGTACTGTGAGCGCGTGGAGCACCTCCACTTGGCTGCACCGGCACATCAACTGCTTGAACTTCAGTACACATCTCATCAATTTCCTGGGTGTCGTGTCATGGGAAAAATGTAGTCTTCCTAATCAGGAACATCATCCTCTCCGGTGACCATATTTGTCCAATATTGACAATCGAACGTTGGGTCCATCCTACAATAATTCAACGCTTAATCCATGTACATGAAAAATATTTGTACTGGATCAGAGATCAGGAAATGAAAAAAAATAGCAGTTTCATCAAAAGCACTGGCATTTGTCGGCCATCTGTAGCACAATCATGTTAACCAATCATTCAGCCATTCAGCAGCACAGGTATCAAAACCAGCCGGCCATCAGTACGAGGAAAAAAATTTAGGACAGCACAGTGCCATGCAGCCTCCTCTCTCCTGTCAGCAGGTACAGTAGCATACACGCCGGCTTAGTAGCATATACATTCAGGCAAGAATAGCAGTTTCATCAAAAAATAAATAGTAGTTCCATAAAAAAATAGCAGGCAGCTGCTAGCCATGGCAGGCCAAGGCAGCAGGCAGCCACGGCCAGGCGGACGCAGCTAGGGCACCCGTGAACCCGGCTGTCCGCCACTCTGATCGGATCGCGGGCACAGGCCAGAGGGAAAAGCCCCGGTCTGGAGCACTCGACTCTGATCGGATCGCTGGGTGCTGCTCTCCGTGAAGGCCAAGCCGTCTACGCCTCCGCCGGCCTCCACGACAAGACCCGGGCGGCCAATCCCGGCGGCGGCCAATCACGGCAGCGGTAGCATGGATAACCCTACGAACGGCAAAACACCTGAATGGAGAAGTAGATCGATGGAGTTTACCTCTTGCTCAGCAGCGGCGAAGATCCTCTGCCCTCGACGAACGTAGCAGTAGATCGATGGAGCCTGTGCTATGGCGCCAAGAAGACGGCGTGGGAATTTATCGCGGGAAGCACGAGAAGGAGCGGGAACGAGGATATGCACGCGATGGAGCGGCGTGTATTTTTACGCGTGGTCACAGTGATTTTGCGAAGTGCGGAAAGATGAGGAAGAGATATGGGGAATTCTTGGAAACTAGTTTTTCTCTTTTTTCTCAAATTCCAAGGACGGGGAAGGGATATGGGGTACTCTTGGAGATGCTCTAAGAGGTGGTGTATTTTACTTCCCTATAGAAACATGGGAGAATCTACTGGTATAGGATCACGAAACCCATCTCAACCAAAAACAATGGAAGTTGGGAAAGCTTAATATTGCCGATTTATTTTACTCGCTATAAAAATAGGAAAAAAAAGTCTGTCGCGTCCGATCTATAGGTATAGCATCACGAAGACACGAACCCATCTCAACCCACGGCGGATGGCGGCGGCGGCGGCCTACCCTCCATGGGTAATCTTCGAGCACTACTGCACGCTTGAGGTCCAGGGCTGCTCCTCCATATCGCCGACACGAACACGCTGGCGCGCTGCCGCACCACCGCCGGCCATCCCATCAACGTCTCGCTCTGCCTCGCGGCGCCCCCCGAGGTGTCGCGCGTACGCGTCCAACTTCCTTCCTGCCGGCATCGTGACGCCCTATGCCGTAGTCCTCGCGTCACACGGCGACTCGAGGGTCCTCCCAGGTCGGGCCGATCGAGGACCGCCGGACCTTATTTGGGACCAAGTCAACTGACCACTTCGTCTACAGTGCGGGCGACGCGGCCGCTGAGCCCCCGCGCCCGCCGTCGCTGTCGCTGCTCCCGCCGCACTCCAGCACTTATGAAGACGAGGAGAGGCGTCCCGGATGTCGCTACCTGGACACTGATATCACCGGCCTCCTGCGCCGTGGCGAGGGCGATTTCTTGGTGGCAGAGCTCAAGATGGAGTACGTGAAGGACAGGGACGACAATGTGCACAAGGACGTCGCGCTCCACCTGCTCCGGTCCGTCTCCTGCGAGTGGTGCGTCAAGCGGCCTGTGATCAGCGGCTACGCCGACGCCGGTGAATGTGTGGACGACATGGCGTCCTCGTGGCAAAACAACTTTGTTATCCCCGTCGGCGACCAGATGCTCTGCTGGGTCGACTTAGCGCGCGGCCTCCTCTTCTCCGACGTCGTGTTCGACGAGAGCCCCAGTCTGCGGTACGTGCCGCTCCCCAAGGATCCCGATTTCGGCCTGCGGAGGGTGTCTGTGTCACCGCCAACGGCAGCACCGATAAAGTTCGTCAACGTCTTTCCCCGTTGCTGCTGCGGTGGCGCCGGCAAATCCAAGTGCCGTGCTTCTCACCATGCCTACGCCATCCACACCTGGACGCTGAGGATGGACGTCGACATGGCCTGGGTGATGGACGGCAGTCTCGACACCACCCAGGTCTGGGCCCTCGACGGCTACAAGGGCCTCCCACGCGTCGAGCTGGACAACCAGCCGGCTAAGCCATTTAGCTTTCTATGTACGAAAACAGGCTATAACAGCAGTTAAGGGCTAACTTGTACATGGAAAAACTTAGCTAAATCCTTCTCAAACAGCTATAGCCGAAGATAGTGTAGGCTATAGCCAGAGATTTAAAACCTTGCCCTATCGTGAGCATGGACGAACCCGACGCCATCTGCTTCAGAGGGGTGCTAGAAACACCATGAAAAACATGGCGACGGGACGATGTGGCGGATCATGGTCGATATGAAGAGCAAGACGCTACAATCGGTCTTTCGCGACCCCGAAGGACGGTGGTGCGGTAGTTGGTGGGACCGTCTCTTGCCCAGCAGGGTCTCCAAATACTTCAACTCTAAACCAAGCACGGGCCAGCCACCAGGTCCAGCTGCACAAGCAGAAGCTATGCAAAACTTGATGAGCTCAAGGATTAAAAATAAGCTGCAAGCAATCGACGACACTACGCAGGCAGCTTCACCGGAGGCGGCGATCTTGGCCGTGCTTCAAGAGATACCTGGCTTGGATCGTGCTGATATGATGAAAGCCTATCGCAGTCTTACCCACGACGATAGTGGCCGCCTGTTCAGATCCCTTATGGGGCTGCCAATGGATTTGTGGAAGGATTGGGTGCTGATGGAGGTCAAAGCCAGTGAAGCTTGTGTTTTGTGTGCTCTGCATGTTCAGCACAAGAAAATGACCAGTTACTATATTATTACACAAAAGAAAAAAAAACAGAGTTTAACTCAAGACTTATTAGTCCACTAGCAAATATGTCCGTGCGTTGCAATGGAACCCAAAACATATATATAGAAATAATATTGTATCATTGCTAACCCATGTAAAATACATAGGGCGCGACCCAATATGCATGTATTATTTCCATTAAAAACAAACGGTTGCGTACCAAAAAATTTCCTCATTGCTTCCGGCTTACCTTACCTGTTTCACACCGAAAAAACCAAAAGTGTTGATGCTCGGTATGGAAACAAATACGAAATCAACATTTTACGTACGTACGTTTGTGTGTTGCCTGTCGCGACTGACTGGCTCACGGAACCTCTTGCATGTGTGCATGCAGGCCAGCACCGTGGCCGACGACTTCACACTTCAGCCAGCTCTTCCGCCTGGCGCACAGGACGCTCTACCTCCCCGCATTGACACGCTCGCCACGGCCGAGGACGATGACATCGTGGAAGGCAGCAATAGTAACAGCATCTCCACCACTTGCATCAGCAACAAGAGTTCGAAGCTGGTGTCGACGTTCGTGGCGCTGGGCTAGACGTCGTTCGGCGTTCCCAGGGCCCTGGCCGTCGGCGAAGACACGTACCTTGGTGGACCTGCGTGTCTGGGCCCGTCCGTGGGGGATGGCTACCCGGGCAACTGCATCAAGGGCTGCCTGGCGACGGCAGACATCCGGGACCTGCGCGGCGACCGCGGCCTGTTGGCGGCGTCCCCGCGTGATACAGGCGGCCGTGGCGGAGATGGAGGCAGCGCCGGTAGCCGGCACAGAGCGGTGGACCGAGAAGATAATCGGGCTGCCGTTCACGCGCCTCGCCAACGTGGCGACCAGCCCGCGGTTCCGTGTGTATGAGGCGTCCGACTTCGGGTTCGGCCGCCCCGCGCGCGCCTGTGGAGCTAGTGTCCATGAACCACGACAGGGAGATGGTGCCCATCGGCGGGAGGGACGACGGCGAGGTGCAGCCGTCCGTGTCACTGGACCCGCGCGCATCGAGTTGGCGCACGTCTTCGCCTCGTCGGTGCCTAATTGATCTATTAGAACGTAGAAGAAAAAACAAATTAATCTAGCAATTTTTTGGGCTCTGCCGCATGCGACAATAGAACGTAGAAGAAAACAGAAATCAATCTAGCAATTTTTTGGGCTCTGCCGCATGCGACAACGAGACAGGGATTGCCGTTTTGTTCTCATATTTATTTGGATTTTGCTGGATCTGTGTTGTACCTCTATTCTTTCTTTATGTGTTCGTTCCTGTCTCAAAGTCATTGTCAAACCACCATTTGCACAGGTAGTTATGGAAGGCCAGACCAAAGTAATGGAACAAAAAAAGAGGAGGAAGTATAGATAAAAGGAAGTAAAAAAGTTCATCGTGTGTCTCTAGCGCTCATCTTTTTAGTTGCATTGCAAGTCTGCTGAGCATGGGGAGCACAAAACACAAGCTTTACTGGCCTTGATCTCCATCAGCACACAATCCTTCCTCAAATCCATTGGCAGCCCCATAAGAGATCTGAACCGGCGGCCACTATCGTCGTGGGTAAGAATGCGATAGGCTTTCAGCATATCATCACGATCCAAGCGAGGTATCTCTTGAAGCGCGGCCATGATCGCCGCCTCCGGTGAAGCTGCCTCCATAGTGCTGTTGATTGCTTGCAGCTTATTATTAACCCTTCTGTTCGTAAGTTTAGCATAGCTTCTGGCATTTGTGCAGCTGGACCCGGCTGGCCGCTGCTTGGTTTAGAGTTGAAGTATGTGGAGACCCTGCTGGGCAAGGGACGGTCCCAGCTATCGCACCACCGTCCTTCGGGGTAGCGGAAGACCGATCGTAGCGTCTTGCTCTTCATATCGATCATGATCCGACGTCGTCTCGTCGCCATGTTTTTCATGATGTTTCTCGCACACCACGAAGCAGATGGCATGGGGTTCGTCCATGCTCACGACGGGGTTGTCCAGCTCGACGCGTGGAAGGCCATTGTAGCCACCGAGAGCCCAGAGCTAGGTAGCGTCGAGGCTGCCGTCCATTGCCCAAGTCATGTCGTCCATCCTCAGCGTCCAGGTGTGCACGGCGTAGGCATGGTGAGAAACACGGCAGTAGGATTTGGCCGCGCCACCGCAGCAGCAACGGGAAAAGACCAGTGCCGGTCCTACCATTGAAATACCATTGAAAGGGCCCTCTGCCGATCTCGTCGCAATGGCCTCTCTTGACCATGTATAAAATCTTATAATATAGAGGCGCTAATTTTACTTACAAAACGAAAGCAAATTCAATAACATATTTTTAATTTCACATGTCTGATAATTATCGAGGAACAATGTAGATTAAGCAATATATTTGTAGATGTATGATAATTATCGAGGAACAATGTAGATTAAAAAAACAATATATTCGTTTTCTTTTCTCACCCATGACAAATGTTTCTTAGGTAACATTCAAAAATTCTAACACCTAAATTAGAAGAAAAATATGACTATATGGGTACAAAGTACTAGGAGTCTAGAATACTATACAAATAATTAATTTAAATTAAAAATAAAAAGGAAAAAAATACCTTGGGCCTAAACAACTGATCGGTGATCGCAATTCATAAGAAGCCAAGAATCAAGATGTCGTCGTCGTGGAGCCCAGCTTGGTCGCCGTCCTTGTGTGTCGTGTCCGTGTCTCCGGTAGTCTAGCTCTTCGCATCGGCGCGGCTCGCCAGCTCCACGTGTGTAAGGCGCACGTCGCGAACTCACGATCAGAGTACGCTGTGTGCAGCGTGACTCCTTGCATCCTCTCTACCCAAGGGCCGTGGGGAAAGAAAACTAGGAAAGAAATGTCGATGTTGTCTTTTTTGACTGCATGGTCAGTTCTATGTCTCTCTTTTCATTAGTTTGCCTAACAAACTATAGGACCTGAGGATTTGTATACCTGGGCTTGAGCTCCTCCTCCGCTTAGACCCTCGGCCGTCGCACCTCGTGCCCTATCCCTAGGGCCGGGGCCAGAAAAGACGTTGACGAACTTAATCATGCTGCCGCCGGCGGTGGCACACACGCTCCGCAGGCGCAGGCCTTAATCGGGATCCTCGGGCACGTACCGCAGGCTGGGGCTCTCGTCGAGCACGTCGTCGGAGAAGAGAAGACCGCTTTCCATGTCGACCCAGCAGAGCAGCTGGTCGCCGACGGGGATAACGATGCTGTTTCGCCACGAGGACGCCAGGTCCACACACTCACAGGCCGCTTGACGTACCACTGGCCAGAACCGGACCGGAGCATGTGGAGCACGGCGTCCTTGCGCACCTTATCGGATACCTCTCGTACTCCACCTGGAGCTCCGCCACCAAGAAATCGCCCTCGCCACGGCAAAGGATGCCGGTGCTAGCACTTTTTAGGTAGTTACACCCGGGACGACGGTTGTCTTCTTCATAGGTGATGGAGTGCGGCGCGAGCAGCGACAGCGACGGCGGCCGTGGGGGGTCGGCGGCCGCGTCGCCCGCGCTGTAGACGAAGTGGTCAGTTGACTTGGTGACGGAGAACACGCCGCGGTTCTTGATCCCCGCGACCTGGACGACCACGGAGTCGCCGTGTGCCGCGAGGACCACGGCGTAGTCCACCTCGACGCCGGCGGGAAGTTGGACGCATACGCGCGACCCCTCCGGGGGCGCGGCGAGGCAGAGCGAGACGTTGATGGGATGGCCGCTGGTGGTGCGGCAGCTCGCCAGTGTGTTCGTGTCGGCAATGGAGGAGGAGGAGCCCTGGACCACCCGCGTGCAGGAGTGCTCCAACATTACCCATGGAGGGTAGGCCGCCGCCGCCGCCGCAGCCATCCGCCGTGGGTTGAGAACTTGAGATTTGGGTTCGTGATATTTACTGATGATGAGTCCTTGTTTTGCGGTGCGGCGGCCTACCAAGAATGCAAGATCTTCTTTTATAAACCGCTGGAATGATCTCTCCCGTTTTGATCACGAACCGTATCTGTGTCCGATTACAAGGCAGATGTGCTATATACCTATAGAGCGGGCGACAGAATTTTTGGTACTCTTTCGGCCGACAGACCAGGGACTGTACGTGGATCTCCAATCAAGGGTGGATCTCCTGTCCCCTTTTGCTAGATGAACTGTTCGTCGCTTCTCTTGCCTGCGAGGAACATACCTGCCTCAGCATAGAAATTATGATATTTAACATCAAATGCACACATCACCACTTTCAACATTCAATTCGCTTGTCTTTAAAAATTCAACCTTGTGGCTGCGAATTATTTTGATTAGACTTCCTCTCTTTTCATTTCTCAAGCCACCTGAAATGACCAAACCACCCTTGCCCAAATAGTCCCTATCGATTGAGACCGTCCTAGATGGTTCCAATCATCCTCTCCCTAGGCCATTGGTTAGACCACAACACACGAAGCACCACTAAGAATGGGAACGGATCATATTTGTCAAAGTTCAGCGCCAACATTTGTGGCACCGAGCCTCGGTGCCGTGAATCATGGCGTCGAGCTTTAAATTTAACCAAAATTTGCATATGTCTATGTCATGATAAATCAGGGTTAAATTCAAAGCCTAGCGCTACAGATCTTGCGCGCATCGTGGCGCTAAGCTTTGGCCACATCAGTGCCACATTGTCCCGTCATGCCACCCAGGCCTCGAGGCTCGATGCCATAGCCTATGGCGCCAAGAGTGTTACGTCGGCGCCAAGAGCCACAGCACTGATCTCTGGGGTCCAAATTCGGAAATAGGTCCCCTAGGGGTGTAAATTTAAATATCTTTTTTGAAAAAAGGTTTAAAAAACAAAAAAAAGTCAACAACCAGGGTGGGTGGTTTGTGCATGGGTGGAGGGATACCACTACTACACAAACGATTTTGCGAGACAGTGCACTTTTATTAACCGAGGCGGTCACAAAATTCAACCGCCTCCTAAAATACCTGGCGATTAACGGAGACGGCTGTTTTTATTTACGGAGGCGGTCAGGAAATGCCTGCCTCCAAAATTAGATTTATGGAGGCGGGCACCTTAAAATAACTGCCTCCAAAAACGACCTATTTTCGGAGGCGGTCATGTTAGGGTGCCCACCACCATAAATCCATTATTGGAGGCGGGCACACTATAAGGCCCGCCTTCTAAAATACAGGCCCAACTCCTAGCCGTAGCCCATCTCGACCCGATTCAAGCTCATAGTATATATACCTAGAGCTAGGGTTTCATTCACTTATCTCTCTCATAGCCCCTCAGTCACCCCTTCCCTCAGTCGTAGCCGATGCCCCCGCACCCGATGCCTCCGCACCCTGGCCCCTCACTCGCCGGTCCCTCTCCCTCACCTCTTGAAAGGTCCTAATGGCTAGAGAGGGGTGAATAGCCTATAAAAATTTCTACAACAACACTAAGCAAAGTAGTTAGACAAATATGAAGCAAAGCAATTCTTGGGCTAGCCTACTAAAAATGCAAGCCACTTACCACAATTCTAGTTACTATAGTCTCTAAACACACAATGCTAGGTCATTACCACTAAGTTAGTGAGCTCTCAAATACTAACTAAAGAGCCTCACTGTCGGGGACCTAATACCAGGGTACCCAAGGAGGTGGAACTAATAGCCATCGAACGTTAAAATCTCCCGAACGAACAAGAGCACTACTGCCCTTCTTGCCCGAACAACGGGGGTTTGGTTCCGCCTCGCCCGACGCCCGTGGGCCAGCTCCGCCTCACCCGACGGCTGGAGGATGGCTCCGCCTCGCCCGAGGGTTGAGGGCTTGGCTCTGCCCCGCCCGACCCCCGAGGTATAAACTCCGCTTCGCCCGACGCCCGTGGGCCAGCTCCGGCTCGCCCGAGGGCTGAGGGCTAGACTCCGCCTCGCCCGACCCCCGAGGTATAAACTCCGCCTCGTCCGACCCCCGATGGCTGGGCTCCGCCTCGCCCAACGGATAAAAGCTAGGCTCCACCTCGTTCGACGTCTGAGGACGGACCTCGCCTCGCCCGATGTCCAAAGGCTGGCTCCGCCTCGCCTGACAATCGCACCCCGCTCCCTCATGATGATAGGCACAGGGTAAGGCAAGACGTTCGGGTCAACCGCGGCATCAAGGACCATGCCCTGCGCCCCTGCAGGAAAGTACCGTCAGGGTGTGATAGGACGGGCGCTTAGACCCTTCCAGGCATAGCAGAGCCTGAATAGTGTTGTAGGTGTCGCCTTCAGGCTCCGGGCGAAGAACCCGACACGGACATACGACAACCACTATGTTCCAAGGAGGGACTCCCGTCCTCTACAGTGGCAAACGAGCAGTCACCACTCCATCCGCTCCCCACGGGGTCGGAGATCGACAACCCTGTCCGACACGCCACCCGCGGGGGCAGGACGGGACGCACCCACTTGCTAAATAAGACCAGGACATGGCCTACGAAGATCAACAAACACGCCACTCCTGACACAGTCTGCCATGTTATGCAGGGCAGGCGCGGGAAAAAGGGAGACCCGGATCCTTCGAAGGACCTTCTATACTCTAGGTATTTTCCTCTTTCTCCCATCTGTAACCCCTGCTCCCCCCTTGGTCTATAAAAGGGAGGGCAGGGCTCCCCACTAGAGGGACCGACTTTTGACGGACAACTCACACACGGACGAACTCATAGAGAGTTTGGTTTGACACATCACACACACAGCCAGGCCACCACCAGGCTCTTGGCATCCTTTCAACCCTTCCATCAGAGACCTGGGACTAGTCCCTCTCTCGACCGTTTGTACCCCCTACTACGAACCTCTTTCGGTGCTAATAACACGAGCAACAATAGACTGGACATAGGGACATTCAGCCCGAACCAGTATAAACCTTGTGTCCTTTAGCGCACCATCCGGGCCTAACGCGCATCAAGTATAAATTTACTAGCCGGTGCTTGTTCGAAACATCGACAGTTGGCGCACCAGGTAGGGGCCTTTGTGCGTTCCAAACCAGGCCATGGATGGCTAACCACAATGTCAGCTAGGTCCCAGAACTTTCCACGCCATCCTGGGACGACCGTGCTACGCGAAGTTCATGGGCGTCCCCAACTACACATACCTCAAGCTGAAAATGCCGGGCCTACACGGGGTCATCACCGTCGGCACCTCCTTCCAGCGGGCCTACGACTGTGAGGTCGAGTGCTGCGGCCACGCCACAGCAATCGTCGCCTCCGGGGAACTCGCTGCCCTCAAGGAGGAGGTCGCCGAAGAAACGCCCAACGCAAAGAAATCAATTGGGTCGTTCGAATTGGCAGAGGGCTCCAAGGAGGTCCTCATAGACCCCAGTAGCCCCGAGGGTAAAACGGTATGCATTGGTACCGCACTCTCCTCCGAATAGGAAAGCGCGCTCGTCGACTTCCTCCACAACAACAAAGACATCTTTGCGTGGAAACCCTTGGATATGCCAGGCATCCCAAGGGAGGTCGCCGAGCATACTTTGAAAATCCACCTAGGCTCCAAGCCGGTGAAACAACGCCTGCGCCGCTTCGACGAGGAAAAGAGCAGGGCCATCAGTGAAGAAATAGCAAAATTGTTGGCCGCCGGATTCATCAAGGAAGTACACCACCCAGAGTGGTTAGCAAATCCCGTTCTTGTACGAAAAAAGAGCGGGAAATGGAGGATGTGTGTCGACTACACGGGTCTCAACAAGGCGTGCCCAAAGGACCCGTTTCCCTTGCCATGCATAGACCAAATAGTCGATTCTACCTCAGGGTGCGAAACCCTCTGCTTCCTTGACGCATACTCCGGCTACCACCAAATCGCGATGAGAGAGTCCGACCAGCTCGCGACGTCTTTTATCACCTCCTTTGGATCGTTCTACTACATCTCAATGCCGCTCGGTCTAAAGAACGTCGGGGCAACTTACCAGCGTTGTATGCTCAACTGCTTCGGGGACCTCATCGGGCGGACCGTTGAGGCCTACGTCGACGACATCGTAGTTAAGTCCAAAAGGGCTGACCACCTTGTCGCCGATCTTGAACAAACCTTTGCTAAACTTCGGGCAAATGGCATCAAACTGAATCCCGAGAAATGTGTTTTTGGGGTACCGAGGGGCATGCTGCTCGGCTTCATCATCTCTGAGCGCGGCATCGAAGCCAACCTAGAGAAAATCTCAGCCATCACAAAGATGGGCCCGATCCAGAATATAAAGGGGGATCAACGGATCACAAGGTGCCTCACCGCCTTCAGCCGATTCATCTCGTGCCTTGACGAATGAGGACTCCCCCTTTATCAACTCCTGAAGAAAGCCGACCGCTTCGAGTGGACAGCCGAGGCCCAGGAGGCGCTTGACATGGTCAAGCTACTTCTAACAAAACCCCCGGTCCTAGTTCCTCCAAGCGACGGGGAATCCCTCCTGCTATACATAGCGGCCACCACGCAAGTGGTCAGCACTGCCCTGGTAGTAGAGCGGGAAGAAAAGGGGCACGCCTTCAAGGTACAGCGCCATGTGTACTTCATCAGCGAGGTACTGTCCAACTCCAAAACCCGCTACTCCCAAATCCAGAAACTCCTATACGCCGTACTCATCACCAAGAGGAAGTTACGCCACTACTTCGAGTCACCCTGTGACAGTCGTGACGTCATTCCCCCTTGGCGAGGTCGTCCATAGCCAGGACGCCACGGGGAGAACTGCAAAATGGGCACTCGAGCTGATGGACCAAGGCATCGCGTATGCACCCTGAACGGCAATCAAGTCCCAGGTGTTGGCTAACTTCATCGCAGAATGGACCGAGGTCCAGTTGCCATCGGCGGTCGTCGATCAAGAGTACTGGACGATGTACTTCGACGGGTCCTTGATGAAAAAGGGCGCCGGTGTGGGGCTAGTCTTTGTATCACCCCTC